GCTATACTGAATGCTTCCCGGAGTGCTAGAACATCCTCCCCTGAATTCTGTTGCTCTTCCCACGTCCCAGCGCTGCCGTGGAAAGTAGGCCAAGTGAGCACCAGGGCGTTGCTTTTTTTTTTTTTTTTTTTAAGATGATCAGTTTGTCAGTGTTTTTTTTTTTTTTTTTTTATGTGTGTGTGCATGCTCAGGACAGCTATTCATGTCGGTGGAAACAAAGAGAAGCATTATACAATTTGCAAGCCTTTCCAGAAGAGGGGAAGAGGTTGAAAAATAGGGACAAGAGGAGCATGGATGAAACAATAACAAAAACTGGCTTGTTCTCTAATTCATTTACTTCCTCTTTCTTTTCTTAACGTCTTTGTTGCAGCAAAAAGGTCCCTTGCCAGTAACACTGCTCTGCAAGGATCACACTGCACTCTGGGCTGGTGTAGATTATTTTTAGCTATTGCTGTGCAGCTTTCACCTTGACTTCTTTTGTCTTGACATCATAATTAACATGTCTCTTAATAGCAACACAGTTCAATATTAATAATGATCTTTGACTTGAATTCAAAAAACTCCTTCAGAGTGTTGAGGAACCGTGAAGCTATTGCTTCCCATCGCCATCAAATGATGATATTCCCTGTAGAGATGGATTAGAGGCAGTGATGCAACATGTTGAAAATATACATTTTGATGGGAAGGAACTTGAGAATTATTGGACTTCCTGCAGACAGGGGGGAGTATAACAGTAAGTTGGCAGTACCTCCATCATAGAGGTCAGCAGGTGAATTCAAGTTCTCCAGGGCGCAAAGGCTGCTGGGACTGTTTGGAGAGGGATGATGGCCAAGGTTAAAACTGGTTCTTTTCTACATTTCTGAACGCAACTAGTGGCTATTTCAAATTAATTCATTATTAAGGGAGTTTTTTCAAAGTCATATTCTTGCACCTGTTTCCCCTCTTTATAAGGTAATATGTTCCGATTAAAGACTGAAAATGTATATGTTTTTATTTTTGCCTCACTTTCATCAACGTGAGTTTTTTTTTTTTTTTTTTTTTACTTCTCTTTCCTTAAATAAGTCATTTTAGATAGGCCAACAAAACAGTGATGGACACAACCGAGACGTGCGGGGCCGCTCTGCGAAGGGTATACCCTGGGTATTTGGTCATGTGTATTTTGGTCCAAATTTCCAGGGGATATTTTAGATGTTAATAGCCCTGAAGTGGTCTCGGTTTCTTATTTAATTTCTCTCGCCTTCTTTAAATGTAATTCGCCCACAGACTGCGCCGCGAGGCTCTAAACCGCGCAGAAACTCTCTCTCATCATTTCCACAGCAGAATGGAAATGCAAATTGCGCGCACGGGCAATGCCCTTGACAGAACTCACCACTGCACACAATTAACATGAGCGCCTCTGACAGAAGTCAGTGACGAAATGTGAGGTCACACCGGCACTGGGTCGGAAAACCTGCGCGCATTTATTTTAGACAAAAGGTAAAAAAATAAAAATAAACAAACATTTAATAATAAGAAAATAATACTTGAAGGTGATACGTTTCTTTTTTTAATACTACTTTTTTGTGAATGATTTGAAATAATATTACACATTTTTATGATCATGTCTTCAAATATTTTTTTTTATCGTACTATTATTATTTGCTTCTCATGATGATAATTAGTATTTTTCTTTCAATCATCATAAAGTTGATTAATTCTGCTTATCTTTTCTCTAAAAATGAGCACAGCTGCCTTGAAGATGGAGGAGATGATCTCATGTGTAACCAACGAGGGGCGCTGTCCGTCCATCAGCGCCAGCATCCTGAAGCGGGCTGGGTGCTCAGCGCCCGCCTGATCCCGTGATTGATCTCGCCACTCTCCGTCTGTGTTTTACCGCTATAATTAAAAATAACGCGCAGGCTTGTGTTTTAATGCGATGTTTGAATATGTCACATGGCATTTTCGAAAGTCCATAAATCAGGCCTGGAGTTCAGAAAGTTTCTATAATTAGGAATTCCATTTTTTTAATGCAGAATTTTACTAAATATGTATATTTTTAAAGAAATAATGTTTTCTAATTAAGCATAATAACTAATTTGTAATTTAAAGTAGAACTTTAAATGCTTATAAAGCTTTAAAAAATACATTCGTTTTTCAATAAATTTATTTTTTGCGCAATTTATTGAAATAATTATAGGAGGGTATTATTTTTTTTAGAGCTGGCAATTTTACTTTCTTTAAATAAAGGTAAAAAAAAATACATTTATTGTTTGTGTTACAAACAATAAATTCACTCACTGTTTTTCCCACAATGACTTAGGAATGATGCATTTACTGTAGGCGGATTTGATTAATAATAAATCGTGGAAAAAAAGAATGACTTGTTTAAAACAACCTCTATGAAAAAGCAGTGAGTGATCTAGCTTTATAGGAGCTAATAAGACCCATCCTTCTCTTTTTCTCCTTTTTTTTAATCATTCCCTCTTCTTCTATCGCCAATCAATCTATTAGGAAACAATGCAGGTGAGTATAATGAAAGTGTTGTCCCAATAAAGTGCATCGATGGACAGCTGGGCAGCGGCCGGCTGATTGACTTTGCCTTGACATCTGGGAGGCCCGCTGGCCCCTGGCACGCGTAGAGGCTGATGTCGCCATTTACATGCAAATTTAAGGAGATCATGAGGGCCTCGCCCCGTAAATTCACACACGCAGAGACAAACACACACACAAAGAAAGACGTCACCCTCAATGCGAAGGATGCACGTAGACTGAAGGTCTTCCCAAGTTTTTTTTATTTTTTTTCATTATTATTAATGGAGGAATTTGGTTTGATAACCGTCTTCTGACTCAAATCTTTGGGGGCCCATTCATTGTGGTCACTGAATAGAAGAGTGAAGATCAGCCGTTTCATTTAAGACAGAGCGCATTCTGGCTCCAAAAGCGGGCCAAGATGCAGATCAAATATAGTTTGCACTTGTCACCCATCACTTGCCTCCTGCGCACTGCTGAGGAAATATTTAATTTTTATTTAATCCAAAAAAAAAAAATGATAACAATCCCTTTGAATCCACTCGTTTCCATGCATGTAAGCATTAAACCAAACAGGAGAAACCATCTTTCCCAATATTTATACCTTATTATTTCTGATGCTATACCAGTTCACCTAATGATGGAGAGCGCATTTTCCACGGTGTAAAGCCCACCACGCAGATGATCCCACAGAATGAGCTGAGACGGATTCAGGCTCCGCGCATGCAGCAGCAAGCAGCAGCTGACTCCCTCTCTCCGCGTCCAGATGGCTCCTGCACACAGATTTGCATTCATTTTCCCCCCCACCACCACCACCCTCTTTTAATATCTTCTGAAATAGCGGGGGGACAGCTGCATTTGTTGTCAAATACGGTTTAAAAGTCCCTTTCAGGACAGCATCGTTACCTACGTGACGGGTGTGGAGATCCATTTTCCCTCTCCAGTCAACAGTATCAGATCTAAGAGGATTTGTCTCAAAAGTCTCCCTAATTTGATAATCAGATTTAAATCGCCTCGGTGCGTGTAATCAGGGGTTAAGTTCTAATAAGCGACTTGAAAGTGTGCAACAAAAAAAAAGGAATAAAAGAAAAAGAAATAAATACTATGCGCGCAACAGACACATTTGCAATATGTCTCTCCTTGAAGAGAAAATACGATTAAAGAGTCCCATCTGATGTGTCAAAGACACTTTTATTTCTTTGCAAACTGGAAGTAGGATCGATTATAAATTAAAAAAAAAAAGTTTAAGAAAAGCAAACCTTTATTTTGTGACTGAGCAATTTGGCAATATATTTTGCAGAGGTGAAAGCAACAGCTTATAATTCACTTATCTTTGGCAGCAGCTATTAACCCTCAGCACCAGCTAGATAGATTGCTCAGGATATAGCACACATCTCTCTTCCTCGCACCCTCCCCTTCACCCCCTTTCACCCCTCCTCCCCACCCCCCTTTTCACCACTAATGAACCGAATTGCTTGCTTGTCCCTCTCGGACAGAGTCGGACATGTAAGGCAGTTGGCCTCTTTAAAAATGATTAAGATGTTTCTGATTATTACTGATTTTACGGGACGTGCATGAAAATAAGAGGGAGGAGAGAGAAGCTGCGTGGGGGTCTGCAGAAAGTTGCTCTTAACATCCTGGATGTGACTATTTTAATGAAATCAACATAGTAGTAAGAAATAAATAAAAATAAAGGTCTTTCTTAAATTGACATTTCAAAGGCTTGCAGCGACATTTAAATTAATGTTAAAAGAAATGCTCAGATTATTCAAATCTCTGTGAAATTAAACTATTTCCATGCAACAGGAAAAAAAAATCATATTTGTAAAATTTCTCAATAAAAAAAAGTTTTATAATGTATAACCAATTTTCATTATTTGACATGGAACCTATGTTATAATTTATTAGGTGAATTAGCTCTATTTTTTAAACACTTATGAAACAAAATAAAATATATAGAAGGGTAAAATGATAAGAATAAGCGTGTTGTGCTTTTATAGAAATAATGTGGCCTAAAATGCTTTCAGAATATTAATGCGCCAAAACTTTTTACAATAAATATATGCAAAAAAATTTAATCAATGGGAAAAAAAATATTTTAATTAACTGTAAGTAAAACAAATAAGCGATTATAATTAAAGAAAAAAGAAAAGAAATATGAATTCTGAAGATCGAATTATTTATATGCGTTTTTATTATCACTATTAGAATTATACATATTTTTTTATTATAATGTTTGATGATTACACCCCGGTTGTATCGTCCATATCATTAAAAAAGTCAAACTCACCACATATAGGGGCCTAAGCAAGAAGGGAAAAAAGTGGAGCGAGTGAGTGTTCTCGTGCTGCTGCACTAAATGGGCTGCACCCGCGGAGTGGAGCGCCGCTGCCTGACAGGAACCGTCAGCGCTCCATATATGGTCAAAAGCCCGCCCCTTTCGGCGTCACGTTCTGACAGCGCCTCTCCCGTGGGTTTAGAGTTTTGGCTCCCGGGAAAGATTTCAGTCCTCGGGGAAAGAGGGCTTAGTTTTGCATGTTCCCATCCATCCTGCGCGTCGCGAAAGGGGCCCCCTTATCCACCTCTCCTGTGTACGAGGAACACCTCCACTGGTGATCAGCCTTTGCCTTCGTGTGTTTGTCTTGCGGAGAAGCAGCAGCAGCAGCAGCACCACCAGCAGCAGCACCTTTTTCCAGGAGTGGGGCTTGCTTTTTTTTTTTAATTCAACGAGAAGTCCTGAAGGTTTTGGATGCGTGCGCTTCAGGGATGTGGGCACTTTGAGAGCAGCAGCATCACCCACAAACACAAACAACTGCCATCGATTTTTCTCTGAATAGCACAGAAAAAGACAAGAAGAAAAAAAAAAAGAGGAACAATAGCAACACAAAAAAAATCTTGTCTATTGAACAATTCACTTTTGCAGTCTGTGGATTTCGCTCTAACTAAGTACAGCACTTTGAGAATTGCTCACATCGGACGGACTGAAGAGGGAGGAAAGACCTGTGGACCGGGTTTGTCTTATCCCGCAAAGATAAAACCCTGAAGGATAACACGCTTGGACGTTTATTTCCCATCATTTTCACAGGAGGCTCTTCTATTTTTTTTCTTCTTATTATAATTTCCACGCAAATTGTCCTAAATGTTTGGGATTCAGGAAACTATACCGCGAGGTGGGACGACGATGAAGGAGGAACCGCTGGGTGGACTGAACTCAGTCCGCTCCTGGATGCACACAGCTGGGGTGGTGGATGCAAACACAGCCGCCCAAAGGTACGCATGCCAAAAAATGCCTCTGATTTTTCTTTTTTTTTTTTCCCTCCGCACGCATTCAGCCCCTCATCATATCGACCCCTCAATCCCCTGAATACTCTGTATCAATTACGGTCTCCCAATAAAATGCCCCCCCTTCGGCTTTCCGCTTCTTTCATTACATCAGATTAGCCATTATTGTGACAAATCAAGAAAATCTCCACCCGTTTATACTCAGGCGCGCTTCCTGCATCCTCAATGTGTCCCCCCCATCAGCTTCTCCATCATCTAGTGGTATGTCCCCGGTGTCCGGTGCTTTAACCGAGATGGTGTCTTGTTTTCTCCCCGCAGCGGTGTCGGCTTGGCACGGGCACATTATGAAAAGCAGCCCCCTTCCAACCTCAGAAAATCCAATTTTTTCCATTTCGTCCTGGCGCTGTATGACAGACAGGGTCAGCCCGTGGAGATCGAAAGAACAGCTTTTGTGGACTTTGTGGAGAAAGAAAAAGTAAGCATAGTATTTTTTTAAATATTATTATTATTTAGAAATAAACAGATCTCTGCAAATAATCCGCACATGTTTTGAAATTATAATCTGAAATGATTACAAACACGTGTTTATTTATTTAAAACTTTATTCACTTATAACTTATAATCACTAAAGAAAAAAAATATTTTTTTATATTTAAAATTTAATATGACGCACATATTTGTTAGTTTTAAAAATATTTTTTCCCTGATGCTGAATCTCTCAAACTCTTGTCTTCTGCAGGAACCAACCAGTGAAAAAACTAACAATGGAATACATTACAAACTACAGTTATTGTACAGCAACGGTGAGTAAAAGTGCAAATAAAAAATAAATGCAAGTATTTATAAAATATATATTTCCATTTGGACGATGCGTGCTTATTTTTTTCATTTTATTTTATTTGCAAGCTGAAAATTCCCCAAACAATCCTAAAGTGCGCCTTTTTCTGTCTCCCCAGGCGTCAGAACAGAACAGGATCTTTACATACGATTAATCGATTCCATGACGAAGCAGGTAAGCTGTTTGGAACATCTTTCACTTTCTTTTACGCACAGCGCAAAAAAACCTTAACTTGCCGTGCAAATCGTCACCCCCACAGACAGGCAAAAACATAACTGCACTCATGGCATAAAATAAAATCAAATTAACTCCGTAATCAGAAGAGACAGCTTCCATTTTACCTGTTTACTTTTGACCCTACATTATTACTAGACTCAGAAAAGTCAATGTCACCCTTGAGTTTTTTTTTTTTTTTTCCTTTTTGGGGGGCTTTTTTTGTAAGCTCAGTTTGTAGAAGCATTAAAAATTTACACCCCACATCCGCTCCATATGATCTGATTTGCCTTTCCTTGCAAGGAGTCAGAGGTGACGCTTTAAAGCAGTTTGGAAATAGAGTTTTTTACATTAATATGCAAAAATAACTTTAAATTCAAACGCACGCTGCGGATTTTAAATCGTGCGTAAACCCCGATTAGCTGTGGATAAATAAATCAATTAAATCAAATGATCAGTTATTTAAAAAAAGCAGTTTATATATGTGTAATTTCTACCTCTTCATTTTTTTTCTATGTTTTGCTACTAAACGACGGGGTTAGATAGAGCCGTGGAGCTTGGACAACATTCCTGCGCGAATGATCCGAGTCAATGACGCAGAACAAGCAATTTATGGATTTCTGTTACTGCAGCTACAAATAGCCACATAAATCAAACCAATATAGATAATCGCCAGTTGCAAGCATGTATAAAATGCAACAAAAAGGATAAAAAAAAATGCATAATGCAGGTCAAGTTAGATATCTTTTATAATGTGAGTGATGCGACCTGGTTCAGATGTGTCACTCTTTTCCCCAAATCGTTTTATCCTGTTGGCCTGAAGCGTGCCAGACAATGATTGAATTTATTAATGGAAGCACAGTTTAAATCAGCAATAAAAATTATCTCCTTTCTTATTTGTTGCATCATTTTTTTATTGACATTGACTTGTTAAATTTTCCTTTCTGTTCTTATGTGCCTCAATATATTAGTAAAAGAAGGGGAAAAAAAAGAGTATACTTAGAAATGGAAGAAGGAAAGAGAGGAGAGGGAGGGAGGGGATCGAGGGAGGGAGAGAAGAGCGGCAGAACTGATAGCTCCACGCCATCTGTTTCAGCCAATGCTCAAAAATTACTCAACCGTACCGCCAGACACCGCTTTTTATCCACAGAAAGATCATTGTTAGCGGCTCAAAATAAACAACAGATTGCCCATTAACACTTTCCCCCAAATATCCCCAGATTATAAGCATATTGATGACACTTCTATTGGATCTCTGCTCGTGAAAAATCTCCCTATGTGTCTGTGCGAGCCACAGGATATTACCGAGATTAATAAAACAAAAAATACAATGTATTATTAGGTTATTATAATAACTATCAAGAACATGCATCTTTTTTTTTTATTTTTAATAAAAAATGTTACAAGACATAAAATAATAATTTGTGCTATTTATATTGATGATAGTATGTTTTTTATTTGTTTAGTATTTTTTAAATAGATGTTTGGAACACATATTATTCTGAGTTGCATTTAATTTTTTTAATTTGTTTTGTTTTCAGGAGAATTAATATCAGTATAAAAATTGTATTGCCAGAATTTGTTATAATTGATATCTTTCTCATTTTGCTTTAAAAAAAAAAAAAAAGGCCATAGTTTATGAAGGACAGGACAAGAATCCAGAAATGTGCAGAGTTCTTCTCACTCATGAAATCATGTGCAGGTAAGCATTCTGTGTAGCCCAGTTCTTAATTATATATATTTTTTATTAATGCAATTATTTTCCATGCGCTGTCTGTTTTTCAGCAACAGGGCAAAATGTTATTCTCTTCCCCTCCAATAAGTTTTGACACTTTTGATATGGTGCAGCAGACTAAATTGTTCTGTGGTCCTTCAGCAGCCACACACACTGAGAGAGATGGAGGAAGAATGAGAAAGCTGCTGTCATTTCCAACTTTGATATGATGTGATTAGACTTTGATACAAATATGACAGTGAAAATGAACAGACTGTCTTTTTATTGAATGGAAATTGGCATAACCACACAAGATTCAATTTCTTTTTTTTTTTTAACTTAATGTGATTTCTTTAGGCGCTGCATGCCACTGTTAATGCTCCGTTATGCATAAATGCAGCATGCAGTGCATTCTCTCTCTTTTTTTTATTTTAGCACAGAGTGATTTCTCGCTTGATCCCACCTGTCAACACTGATCAGCGAGCCTTTTAGTGTCATTTAAACCACGTAAATCTCAACAGCTCACGTTGCACCCGTCTATTCATTGGTGTCACTGATACTAAAAGGAAAAAACTCCTTTTGTTGTTATTGTTGAGGCTCAGCGTGAGCTCTGTGAACACTGAATTTGGATACTGTCGGTTAACCTCTCCTTTGTTGCACCCGGTGCATTGTTCAAGTTTGCTAGTTGGGGAGCAGGAGCAGCATGAGAGCAGAGAATGATTTGTCCTTTTTCATGCATAAACTCATCACTCACGCTCAATTTATACATGCATCCATCACTTATTTGTGACACACTGAATATGCTTGTGCTGTAGGGGTAATTCTTTTTTTTTTTTTTTATCAAGAGGAAGTGCATTTTGTTGCTGCATAAAATAAGTACTAGAACCTATTACTGCATATATAAGAATGGGGTTTTGATATATTACCTAATTCTATCTTTTTCTAGCTTGTTTTGAATTACATTTTTTTTCTTTAATACATCTCTGCTATAAAGCACTCCTTTAATATTGCTTCTTGTAAATAAGGGACAGTGTGTGGTTGACTGACAGAAGCTTTGTTTTTCTCCTTGCAGCATATGGCATAAATCAATCCCATTCACATATGCTTCTATGTTTTCATCTCGAACGGAAGCAGAGATGATGCATTTGTTTGCTGCTGCTGAACAGCTGAAGCATGTGCTGGAAGATAGATTAGTGCTTTTGAGGGCCATAATTGATAAATGCCCTGCAGAAATATTGGTTGAGGGTGGCACCTTGCATCTCCCTCAGAAATAGCAGCTTGGCAATTAGAGGTAAACAAAAGCTGAAGCTGTGAAAAGTGACTCCCCTGCCTCCTGGCCCAGTCCCCACTCCCCTCCCTTCCATTGCTAAGCCAAACAACACAACATGTTGTTTTCACCATTTTTATCAACCACCAGCATCAATTGGATTGGGTAGACTGAGTGAAGGAAATCTCAAGGCAGCGTCTAACCACTCTGATGTACTTAGTGAATAAATGTTCTGATATTTAGCTAATTATTTTTTGTTAAAAGAAAATCGTTTTCTCTGTGTCTGCAGCCGATGCTGTGATAAGAAAAGCTGTGGAAACAGGAACGAGACCCCGTCAGACCCAGTCATCATTGACAGGTAGGCTGTGTGTAACATTCTGCGTGTGTGTGTGTGTGTGTGAGATCAGGTAATAAGTGAGTCACACTGACTAAACGGATGAGTGACTGAGAGCTTGAGCTCCCTCCTGGTGCACCAGTCTGGCCCAGTTGGGCTGACTTGCATCTTCCAGCACCATAGTGTGGGAACTGCGGGTGAGTCTGTGTGAGCGGCTAAGGGGCGTCTTTCCCAGGTAACCTGTGCACCACCGAGGGGGCGGTCACCACCTGGATAGGGTCTGTTGGATCACAGGTGGTCGAGCCACCAGAGGATCATACTGGGAACATGTCTAATTAGCTCACTCTTATCTGGCATGCTGTTCCATCTTTATTTTTGACAGCGACGGCATCAATAATAATAGCTTTTCATGGACTGCTCCTTCCACTAGTGGTAAGCTGAAAGCTAAGTTCCCCATTAAAGTTTTGTTTTAAGGGGGATAAACATTTTATGGCTGCTGTTTTGTGCTCCACCTGAAAGGAAGTTGCACCTTGCACATTTATATTACCTTCAGCACTAAAAAGGGAGAATAAACGCTCCTCTCTACAGGCGCTGACATTTCTTTTACATGCCGGAGCAATAGGTCCTGGTCTGTGAGGGGTTTGTTAAGGTTGAACATGTGTGTGTTTGTATGTGTGTGTGTGGTTGAATATAGAAGTGATGCAGGGTGTTGCAGCCTGAGCATTGGCTCTCAATGTAACTCTCACCACGTAGTGAGGGAGGCAGCAATGCTAATGTTTGACTAGCCGGAATCACTGTTTGCTTAGCGGAGAATGCCTGGTATCTGACAGAGGGGACAACTCTCTTATTAGTAATCAAATAGGGCTGAGCAGTTGTTGCTGCCACTCCACTCCAGCGGCTTCTCATGCATCAGGAAGTAGAAGCCGGCTGCCCTGGGAGCCTGGATGGATTACCAGGGCTACTGCTGTCTGAACCCCAAACTCACGCAGACACACATGCACGTCAACACACACTCAGATGAGAACACCAGTGCAGTAAGAGACACGCTTTCTGCAGGCATGCATGCACATTTTCTGTATGTTGTTTATACTACTGCTGAGATTGACTCATATACGTCTACAGATAAACAAAAAAAATGAGGACACCTATGTAAAATTCAATGCTTTTCTAATCTTACTGTTTGTTTACATACATTTGAGTAGTATGAAAATACATGATACTTCTATATTCCACATAAATATATTTTAATTATGAGTGGCAGTTAGAGGTGCCTTAAAAAATAACACAGTGTAGAAACAGATTTCAGATCATTATAAAGTAAACATACTTCTAACCATTTCTTGACAAAATACACCTGATGTTTTAATTAAGAATCAATATTTGATGGAGCTACCAAATTGTTTAAAAGCATTTTTTAAAACCTCTTTGAATGAGCTCAACACGTATTTCACATTGTTGTTGGGTTGAGGTGATAACCGCATTTCCACCTCAGTGATGTTAGCTGCTTGTGATGAATAAAGTGGATTAGTTGTCATGTAGAGATGCTTATTTCAGGAGAATTTGCAGGGGTCGCTTTATACTTTAAAGAGCTGTAATATATATATATATATATATATATATATATATATATATATATATATATATATATATATATATATATATATATATATATATATTTTTTTTTTTTTTTTTTTTTTTTTTTTACTAAATGTTGTACAATCATAATCTTAGTCTTCAAATATTTATACATTTTCTTTAGAACAATCTTAGTAGATGTAGAAGCTATATTTAACAGTCAGGTTCATTTATCAAAGATCAGACTAAATCTCAGATAGGCTATGAACTTTTTGCCCGGATTTCCGGAGCTTTAATGTTTGCTTTGTGTTGTTGCTACTGTTTAAAGTTTCGCACACCATTGTCCCTCATTCTGTCCTGACAAAGCGTGTAACTTAAGTACAATAAACGAAATGAAAGCGTGCAGAATTAAAGTCAAGAAGAAGGGGTGGGAAAAAAAGTTGGGGGTAAAAAAAAGAAGCGGATGGATATTGTAAGCTCAACTGGCTCAGGGAGGGCTCGGATTTTCATTGTGACGAGTCTGAATAGGGGCAGAGTATCCCTTTCCTTGCACAATGAGCAGCTCTGTTGAAACACAAAAGCATATGTTCCTCATTAGACCCTCCCATTGTCTCCATGTCGTAACTATGAGCCCGTCAGCTCACCCTAACAGACCCACGCAGGTTCCCAGTGGCTGAGGGGGGAGAGCTTGTGGAGTCGGGGGCGCTTGTGAAAGTTTGCAGAGTTTAGCAAGAGTTACGGACATGACCCGAACACCCGCCTTACTTACTGTACGATAATTTAGAGCAGTTACTTGACTCTTCCTGCAGTGCATATGGTTAAGCTTTTAGTTTAAGCCCCCTTGTTTTACAGCCATTTCTGTTACATCTGTCATTTTCTCATGCACATCATTAGAGGCACCTGTGCTGTGGTCGCTGCTGGCAGAAACTGATTATTTCCAATTGAGTAGAACATAGCTGAGTGACATAAACCTAGAAGAGCAGTTTGATTGCTGAATCAAGGATGTCTCATCTGTCTAGAATTACAGCTTGAGAGGAAAAGGAAAACAAAAAACAAAAAAACAGAAAAAAAAAAAACAACCCAAAAAAAGCCAGCACTGCCACATTTCGTTGAGAAACAGTAGCATGGCTGAACCTTAAGAAACAGATTTGGAGTGAATCATTGATGGCTTTCACTCTCTGTAACATTTTCCCAGATGGTACGAGGGGGGAAAGCGCACACAGCTAGCTGGCATCTAGCAAGACATTAACTGGCGTTCCCATGGATCTGGCATATCCAACGGAGTTTGGGAAACTTATCATTCCAAATGTGTCCTATTTTCCTGCGGTCAAGCCAGACATCTGTTTACCCTATTTTCTCCCTGAGTTTTGATACAGATTTTCACTCAGATTTCTGAAGAGGAAGGATTCTCTTAAAAAAAAAAGAAAAAAAAAAATGTTGGTTAGATATTGGCCCAACAGCTGTCACAAAGTTTCAGCTCTGCTTGGGCTTTAAATATTTCAGCAATTACACTTGATGCCCTTGCATTATTCATATTTGTTTTTGGATGAAGAAAAGTCCTATTTTTGATCAATTCTTGTGGCTTCATACTAGGCATGGGTTCGCATGAAGTTCTCACGGTTCATAAAACCACCACTAAAAATATAGAACAAACTGGTAAATTTATTCTAAAACAAAAAAGCAACACTTATCCCAATGTTAAAGAAATAACTTATAATTTATAATAATTTGTATTTCCATTTTAATTTTGATGGATATACAGTTCATTTTAAGCAATAATATTGAATAAAACCCTGATAAATTAGGGAGTTATTTGGAGGTTCTTATTGTGCTCATTATTATGTTGTCATTCATAATATCTGTATAAAATGCTACTGTTTTCTGGTTTGATAATATGTCTATTATTTTAATAGGCTTATTAGTTGTGCTTTTTTTTTCTTTCCATACCTTCGGTTTCCTTTTTTAGATTTTTTTGGCAAAAGCAAGAGAAACGTGTAGCACCCATTTAAGTAATAAGCAGCAACAAGTGGGGAAGAGACATTTTTTGTATCACTCAATGCCTCATAAAGATAGAGGAAAATGGTTTTTCAGGAAAATGTTCTAAGAAAGTTTTAAAAGGCCTTTAAGGAATGGAACGATGAATAGATTTGGAGCTTGCAACTCTTCAAAACCTTGTCATACCTTGATGCCAACCTCTCATTATAGTAATTGTATTATATCTGAAGTTTTAAGTATATTTTCCAATATATTATAAAGAAGTTTTGTTTCCAAGTAATATCAACATTTCTCTTCAGACATAATATGTGAAAAAATATATTCAAAGCCAGTTGGTACAAGAATTAGATTCATCTAGAGACTAATTGTTGTGGTGTTGCTATGGACACATCCCTTCCCAGTTTGCATAAATCCAGCAGAGCTGCAGATGTCACTTTTATAAGTTAATGGTGCTTTAAAGTAACTGGGGGAGCGGGTTTATTTAGTCTGTAATTTAAATCTTGAGAGTTATAGTGATGAGGTACCCAATATCTGATTAGATGTTTTTTTCCCCCCCATTTACAGTGCACCCAGCATATATCCCAAACATAACTTAATTTACGATGACTCCTCTGGTCTGGGATCTGTCTTCACTCTTCTGCATATTGACTTTGTCTTTTCTTGTGTGAAAGATTAGATACATTGGCCAGGCTCTCACATGGATTTTGTAATAAGGCGGCACATGTTGTTGAAAGATGAGAGAAAATGACTCTTTCGGACTGTCTGGGTTCAAAGGTCGCTTTTAGCCTGGGAAGATTTGGTCTTTTTTTTAAATTATTTTTTGGAGGCAGACATCAGACAGGCAGAGGCAGAATGTGGTGTCAGTGTGTGAATTCTGATTTTTTTTTGTATGTTCCTGTGGTCAAACATCCTGTCTCGATTTTTGTTGCTATTCGTAAACAGTTTTTGGAAGAGAGAGAAACATGTCAGCTTCATTTTTTCCAGTGGCCACAGCACTCCATTTCACTTCCTGTCACAAAGGTCAAAGAGCGCTGACCTTTGGAGTGCAGCCCAGCCACTGAATAATTCATGACATTGACTTGTTTTTTCCCTTTATTTTTTCCCCCCCTTGCCTCCTTTTTTTTGGTCAGCACACATGGCTGTGCAGTGGGAGGCTTTTATTCATTTAGCTCATTTATAAAAGGCTTCACTGCACCTGTTTGTGTGTTAATGCAATTAGATTTTGGCCTAATGTAAATTTTGCTTAGCTTTCTGTTATGTCCCTCATTAGCCAGCCTGTATTTTCTAAACGACTTTGCGTTATCGTTCATTTGCGGGAACACCTACGAGGTCATTTCCCAGAGTGCACTTGACTTGTTGTCAAGTTGTTTACCAGAAACAAAAGGGACCGCAAGCCTCAGAACGTCTCACAAGCGGCCTCCTAAGAAACAAATCGGGGAAATTTGCGCGCTCCC